CGCGCGCCGCGCCGTGCGCGCCGCGCTCGACATCTCCATGTTCATCCGCACGCGCAAGCCCACGGGCCACATCTTCTACCTGGGCTCGCTGGCGCGCCTGGGCCACGCCGACGAGACGCAGGTGGGCGCCTCGCTGGACGGCGGCGAGCTGCTGGTCCACCTGCGCTTCAACCAGACGCCCGAGAACTACACCGTCGGCGGCACGCGCCTCGACAACGGATACCTGCACCTCATCGAGGTACTCCTCCCTGCGTGACGACATACTTCGAACTCCTCGGCAGCTGTAGCCAAATGCCAATTAGCGCTTGTCTACATGTGGAATAGAAAACCAAATTATATGGAAATGACGTCAATTTTGACACTTGGCAATGTCATCCCCATACATTTAGTTTCCTACTCTCTCATAAGTAGACAAACGGTAAAGTGGCGTTTGGCTAAAGGCACTGTATTGCTTATAACCAAAAGATATATTTGCTCGTTTACGAACCTATTTAATATAAAAGTAATACCAACAACTTAAATCAACATTGTACGTACCCGTATGTACGTACGTAATAAATTTCGATTTCACTTTGTATAACGTGTATGCTTAGACTAAATGATAATTATGTAGGTACATTATCAAGTTAAACACGTAGTTTAGACATTGTTCACGTGTGCAGGTTGTACGGAACTCCACGCTGGTGCAGGTGAAGCTCAACGGTACCGAATACTTCCGCAAGTCCATCTCCGCCGCCAAGCAGATCGATGCACAGGTTAGTTGTATATATTTTATATCATTTCTTTACACAATAAAAAAAACATATGTAATAAATTTAAAGGCAACACATTCATTGACTTTGTCATGCTATCAATATTGTATGTTTCTTTGTTCTGGAATGAGAACAAACAATAGGGAAGATGCAAATATGATAATTATGAAAATTGTATGAATAAAATGGTAAAAAAATATGGCATATGTATAACTTACCACCAGATATAGTAACAAATAGCAGACAAAAATAGTAAATGATCACCAAAATATAACTCGCATTTTAATGTAAAATTATAACCAAACTTTTAACACTTCGCTATCCTATTTAAGTAAATTAACTCCAAGTAACTCATGAATAACCCAAAAATAGTAAATGTTCACCAAAATTAAACTAACATTTTAAAATAAAATTATAACCAAAGTTTTTAAATTCTGCTATCCTTTTTCAGCAAAATGAGTGCAAATAAATCATTATTATCCCAAAAGCAGTAAAGGAATTTACCAAGTGTTAGTGTCGACACGGTAGTAGCTTTTCAGAGAGTTCAGAGTTTTCTAGTGTAGAAACATAGAACATAACATAACATAACATCACGCCTTTTATCCCCGAAGGGGTAGGCAGAGAAATGAAAGGGACTAAATGGAAATCCAATTCCAAAAATTTAAACGGTGTGTTTAAATCCCCATTTTTTACAATATACAATTAGATTAATTTAATTTTTTAATATTTGATGAGCTATTTTATGTGAAATTCTTTAAAATACAAACAAAACTAAAAATATTGCATGTTCCTTATTATTAACTAGCCATAGAAACTGTTTTGGGGCCATCAGTGTAGTTAAAACAAGAGTTTTTAGCAGTGTGAGGTATGTAAGAATAATGAATGAATTCGTACAGGTGCTGTACCTGGGCGGGCCCCCGCCGCCACTAGCGGCGAGCGCCCCCGGCGCCGGCGCGGCGGGCGCCAACG